AAATGCCTTCTGATTTCCTGGCTGCAGTCTGTGTATGCAGTAATCTTTGTGCCTCCACGTTTTCTCCCTCTATTTGCCAGTTTTCAATCATCTTGGTTTTTTTTATGTTTAACTGCAACCCAGTTTTTGCACTTTCTTTTTTCACCTTGATTAGAAGGCTCCTCGGCTCCTCCTCACTTTCAGCCATCAAAGTGGTATCATCTGCATATCTAAGGCTCTTGATGTTTCTTCCAGCAATTTTAACTCCAGCCCTGGATTTCTCAAGCCTTGCACGTTGCATAATCTGTTCTGCATACAAGTTGAATAGGTTGGGTGAGAGTATACATCCCTGCTGTAGTCCTTTCCCAATCTTGAACCAGTCTGTTGTTCCATGGCCTGTTCTTACTTTTGCTACTTAGTCGTTATACAGATTCCTCAGGAGACAGACAAGGTGACTGTTAATTCCTACTCTTCCACAAATCTAACCTAGAAAGAGGGCAATGCTGGGTGGCCACCCGGACCTAGGTGTAAGTGAGGACATCTGGCTGACTTACCCACAAGCATGCATCAGCAGGAATTGCCACCACAAAACCACATTTTTTCATTTCTTAGATGACTAGTCCCAGAATCTCTCATCCACTATCATGGCCATCAGATGAGCTGGTAAGTGTTATCCAAAAGATTAACACTTCCCAAGCATTAAACGTGTTCCATTCTTGCCCTTTCTGCAATACTTCCAATGCTGAACATCAGATTGACATTTTTGTGACATCTGTGAGAGCAAGATGTGTTAATGGGAAACTGTGATGAAAAGGGACTCTCATTATATTCTTACCCAGTAGGAGCTGAACTGATGTGGTTTTAATGAGGCATATGGCAATACTCTGGCCTTGTACTACCACTTCATTTATAAATGTGAGATCTGAACATTATAATGATTTATGTGACTAAAATATCAGACAGATGGAATGTTACAGAACACAAAGAATTAAGCAATTTCTATCCTTCTCTTTTTAGGTCCTTTCTAGTGCGGGCTGTTCTTGTAAAACACTGATGTGGAAGATTTAGGGCACTCGTTGGATCACCACAGGTGGATACATTTTTTGTTCTGACAAGACTAAAACTATAATTTTTCTTGGGTAACCAGAGAAGCATGTAGCATCTAGCGGGAAGTGGTACAGTTCCAGCGGTGGATCCCAAACCTGCCTATGCCCAAATATACTCCTGGAACAGAGGAGAAAATATACAAGGGTTGAATGAAAAGTAATGTCTTCACCTTCGTAACTCAACAGATGGCAGTACTGGTATGCGGCAGGTACTGGCTTGTTCGGTAGATTCTCTTCTACAGTTCCATTTTGGCAGGAAGCCTTAGCATTGAATGGTTGTGTTGTTAAAGTGCGAAGTATGGAACCCTGCACAGACAGTCGGTCAATGCGACTTAAGCAACGTGCAGTCAGTGAATTCTTGACAGCAGAAGGTGTCACCTCAACATCTTTAAACTTACTTGCCCAGTGATGCACAGTACTCACATCAACACAATCACCATAAACAGCTTGCATTCTCTGATTAATCTCCTTTGGGGTGACACCTTCTGCTATCAAGAATTCAATGGCTGCACATTGCTTAAGTCGCATTGACCGACTGTCTGCWCAGGGTTCCATACTTTGCACTTTAACAACACAACCATTCAATGCTAAGGCTTCCTGCCAAAATGGACTGTAGAGGAGAGTCTACTGAACAAGCAAGTACCTGCTGCATACCAGTACTGCCATCTGTTGAGGAGTTATGAAGGTAGAGGCATTATTTTTCATTTAAACCTCATACATGGCATATGCCTAACCAAGAATGACTTGAGAAACTGCAAGTCACTTCTTGTGTGAGAGAATTGGTTGTCTGCAAGGACGTTGCCCATCAGATGCCTGGATGTTTTACCTTCCTGTGGGAGGCTTCTCTCATGTTCCCGCATGGGGAGCTGGAGCTGACAGAGGGAGCTCATCTGCACTCTCCTTGAATTTGAATCTCTGACATGTTGATCATTAATTTGTAATGATCCATGTGGCCATATGAGGATGTTTCCATTAATGAATGCAAAAAACCCCAAGTAGTATATTTAAGTTACATGCAGAGAGACTTAATCTGACATTGGAAGTGACACATGTCAGTAAAATTTGCTAAGTCTGCCAACTGCTAGAAATATTTCAAAGTTTGGTATTTAAAAAGCTTCCTTCCTTTGGAAGAAGCAAACTGTAATCCCAAGAAAAGGCACGAAAGGCAAAAACCATAAGAGAACTTTACAGTAGCCCCAAGCATTCCTGGCAACATCAGTGAAATTGCTTAATTAATTTTGATGAAGGGCACCAGCCAGAGAAAGCCTTCTCCAATACTAACGGGAGAAGAAACTCCCACATTTCCATACCTGGATTTTCCAAATAAATGTTCAAGGAACTAATATTCAAACTGTACATTACTGAATGGCAACAGGGTTTCAGGGAGATTTTGGATTTCGAACATGACAGTTCTGCATGTGTTCATTCAACTGACATAATTAAATTAACTATTTATTTATCATATCAGGAGCAAACCAAAGGTACAGTTGCAATGTATTTAAAAAACACAAAGTTTAAAAACTTGGCATTCTGCTAAATGTCAGAAGCTGGCCACTTGGAATGCCTCTGGTGTTGCTATCCATTGTGCATGTGGCATGGCTCAGACTGCATTGTAGTAAGCGGTCTGTGGTTTGCTCTTCTCCACACTCGGATGTTGTGGACTCCACTTTGTGTCCCCATTTCTTAAGGTTGGCTCTGCATGTCATGATGCCAGATCACAGTCTGTTTAGTGCCTTCCAAGTCGCCCAGTCTTTGGTGTGTCCAGGAGGGAGTCTCTCATTTGGTATCAGCCATGGGTTGGGGTTCCGGGTTTTAGCCTGACACTTTTGGACTCTTGCTTGCTGAGGTGTTCCTGCGAGTATCTCTGTAGATCTTAGAAAACTATTTCTTGATTTAAGGCATTGGCATGCTGGCTGATATCCAAGCAAACAGAAGCGACTTGTAGCATTAAATTAACTATTGATACCCTTGTACCATCTGAACTGCTGACTTGAAGACCTGAAGGTTGGTGGTTTGAATCAGAGAGGTGGGGTGAGCTCCTGCCTATCAGTCCCGGCTTCACATGAGAGAAGCCTCCCACAGGATGGTAACACATCCATGTGTCCTCTGGGCAACGTCCTTGCAGATGGCCAATTCTCTTATACCTGAAGCAATTTGCAGTATATTCCCAAGCCACTTCTGACACAATAAAAAACCCCGTTAAATTAACTAATAAGAGAGGAAGCCAATGTTGTGTAGTGATTTGATTCTCTTGAGCTAGGATTTAGACACCAGGATTAAAATCCCAGTTCACTCATAGTGGGTGATCTTGGGCAAGACACACTCTCTCAGCCTAAAAAGAAGGCAATAGCAAACCTCATCTGAATAAACCTTTATCAGGGGTATTGTAATTGACACTGATTCGGATTTGAATTCATTGCAACAAACCATGGAATCATAAAACTTAAAAGTTTTCTGAGCTGAATGCAACAACAGAAAATGGTGGTGTGATGAGGCAAACAGGGAAACGTTTTATTATTACTTATAGATTTTGCCTTTATGTGCCTGGATGTTGCCTAAAGCTGTCAGCCTGAAAGAATAAGCCCTAGTGCAGCACAATACTATAATGATATTTTTTTCATTTCCAAAACAGCAGAGTTACAGAAAAAAAGAGAGAAATTAGAGGTTGGGGCTATGGTAGTATCCACCATCCCAGAATGTGTGGTCTCATATTGAGCAGTGTAACATGGTTTAGGATCTGTGCTGGGACTAAGATGCCTTGTGAGATCTAAGAGTAAAACTAAGAGTAAAAGAATGAGGTGAGCTCCTGCTGTTAGCCCCAGCTTCTGCTAACCTACAGTTTGAAAACATGCAAATGTGAGTAGATCAATAGGTACCGCTTCTGTGGGAAGGCAATGGTGCTCCATGCAGTCATCTGGCCACATGACCTAGGAGGCATCTATGGACAATGCCGGCTCTTTAGCCTAGAAATGGAGATGAGAACCATCCTCCACGGGAAACTTTTACCTTTAGCTAAGAGTAAAAAAGGTTATGCTGGAAGGTCCAGCAATCATCCGGTTTATCCCCTGTGAAGCTTGCTTGCCCACATGCCAGTCAGTATATATATATTACAGGATAAAGTGGGTTTTCACTGCAATGAGCTTGGCTCTTGCCAGAAATGTGTTTAGCAATTCATCAAGTGATGCTTGTCTTGCTCTGCTGGAAGCACACATCTTCCTCAAATCATACTTCCTTCTGGAGTTTTATACTGCTATTGAAGAATTACGGTGGAGACACTAAGTTATGAACAAAAGGAAAACCCTAAACAAAACCTGTTCAGTAATATCCAGTTCAAATGGCCCTGCTGCTAGAAATTTAGTGGCTTATTACTCATCCCAGTCTTTGTCATGTGAGGTTAATAACACTAGGATGTCTTGCAGATGTGTGGTAAACAAATGCTATTATTTGTAACACTTGGCCAATGTTTATACAAGGTTTAGGGCATCTCATTCTCTTCTGCTAAAGTTACAGTGTTGTGGCTCTTGTCCATTAAGTATGCTGTGACAGAACACCAGCTTCTTCATTTGCCTTTCTTTCTGTCCCTTCGGCCTCCATCCCCACTTCTAGGCCTCTGAGCATTCAGTCTCTCAGGATTATGGAACAATTAATATTCTCAATGTGTTTCCAGCTTCATCTCAAGGGAAGGCTGTATAGGTCAACAGCAAGCTAGACTATTAATGGTCGGGAGCTCACTCCGGACCGGGCTGGCTTCGAACTAATGACCTCTGGGTCAGTGGTGATTGAATGCAGCTGGCTACTAATTAGCTGCGCCACAGCCTGGTCCCAATCAGCTTGTGCTTTGCATTTTAATACACTCACCAACTCCAACAGAGTCCCCATGGCATCGGCCCTACCGCTCTGACACTCAGGAAGTGTCTCCAAATGTTAAGGTGGAAAGGAATCCTCACAACCTCTGAGGATGCTTGCCAGCCACAGATGCAGGCGAAACGTCAGGAGAGAATGCTCCTAGAACATGGCCATACAACCCGAAAAACCTGTAACAACCCAAGGAATCTTTTTCCTGCCATTGGAAGGGAAGGCACTCCTGCGGGTGGATGGGGAACCCCCTTGGGATGGTCTTTTCCATACAAGGGAACCCCCTCTCCGGAAAAGGGGGTCCGTGGGGCACACAGTGGTTCCAATGCTGGTGTTGCTCTCCCACCAGTGGGTCCCGAGAAAAGAGGCGTGGGCTTGGAGCGCCTCCCCCGCCCTCTGCGTCCCGAGGCCAAACTTCCTCGCCCGGCATGAGTGCTCCTGCTCTCCCTCCTCCTCCTCGTCTTCTTCCCCGGCCTCCCTTCGCAGGATGCGGGCGTGGGGCTGGCGGGCTCTCCGGCTCGTCCTGCTCTCGGGGAGCCTCCTCCTGGGCCTCCAGCTGGGGCTACGCCGCCCCGGAGAAGCCCAGCACCAGGCCGCGCCGGGCACGCAGTCCGAACTGCCTCCACCCCTCGCCGCCAAGGAGGCGCTTTCCCGCAGGAGGCAGGTGACCTATCTGAGGAGCGGGCGGAGGAGGAAGGGCCCCGCGGAGGAGCCCACCTGCTGCCCCCCCAGGAAGGTAAGAGCAAGCGAGAGAGGGAGGGAGGGGAAGAGGGGGGGGGGGTTCCCAGACTCCCAGCTTCCTTCGTCATTGGCCACGGAATCTGAAGCTCCTGGGAGTTAGTTGAGGTCCAAGTMACCTGGGAGAGTAGAGTTTGGCAATCTCTGCCCTCAGATCCGGTCTTCCAGGGGCTTCAAACTAAATTCTTAGAATCCTTTCTCATTGACCAAGGCATCTGGGAGTTGGAAGTCCAAAACACCCGTTTAGGATTCTCTGAAGTAAACAAAACACTTGGACGACTAGAGTTTTGGGAATGGCTGCAGGTTCTGGAGGAAATCAAAGGCATAGGKTGCATCTACACCAGGCATGGGCAAACTTCAGCCCTCTCTCCATAGAATCATAGAGTTGGAAGAGACCTCATGGGCCATTCAGTCYAACCCCCTGCCAAGAAGCAGGAAAATTGCATCCAAACAACCCCCAACAGATGGCCATCCAGCCTCTGTTGAAAAGCCTCCAAAGAAGGAGTGATGCTGTGGCAAAAAAAGCCAATGGGATTTTGACCTGCATCAATAGGAGTCTAGTGTCTAGATCCAGGGAAGTCATGCTACCCCTCTATTCTGCCTTGGTTAGACCACACCTGGAATATTGTGTCCAAATCTGGGCACCACAGTTGAAGAGAGATATTGACAAGCTGGAATGTGTCCAGAGGAGGGTGACTAAAATGATCAGGGGTCTGGAGAACAAGCCCTATGAGGAGCCGCTTAAAGAGCTGGGCATGTTTAGCCTGAAGATGAGAAGGCCGAGAGGAGACATGTTAGCCATGTATAAATATGTGAGGGGAAGTCATAGGGAGGAGGTAGCAAGCTTGCTTTCTGCTACCCTGGAGACTAGGACATGGCACAATGGCTTCAAACTACAGGAAAGGAGATTACACCTGAATATTAGGAAGAACTTCCTGACTGTGAGAGCTGTTCAACAGTGGAACTCTCTGCCCTGGAATGTGGTGGAGTGTCCTTCTTTGGAGGCTTTTAAACAGAGGCTGGATGGCCATCTGTCGATAGTGCTTTGAATGCAATTTTCCTGCTTCTTGGCAGGCGGTTGGAGTTGTAGTTCACCTACATCCAGAGAGCACTGTGGACTCAAGCAATGATAATTCTGGACTAAACTTGTCAGGAATACTCAATATGCTCAAATGTAAACACTGGTGAAATTTGGGGAAAATATATCTTGACATTTGGGAGTTATAGTTGCTGGGATTTTTAGTTCATCTACAATCAAAGAACATTCTGAACCCTACCAACAATAGAATTGGGCCAAACTTCCCAACACAGAACCCCCATTCTGATGGCCTTTGCTGACCCCTCTGAAACCCTCCTCACGACCTCCCCTCACGGGTCCCGACCCCCAGGTTGAGAAATACTGCCATTGGGGTTTTTTGATTTAGCCCAAGATGCTGTTTATGTCAGCTCTGGGTGGAACGTGAGCAATCGTCAAGCAGAGAGAAGTGTGGAATCCTAACGTTCTCAGACACAAAAATTCTTAAATTCAGGATGCATCTACATGGTAGATTTAAAGCACTTTGACATTACTTTAATTACTGTGGATGAGTGCTATGGAATCCTGGGAGTTGTAGTTTGGTGAGGCACCAGCATTCTTCAGCAGAAAAAGACTGAAATCCTTGTAAAACTACAACTTTGAGGATTCCGTAGCATCGAGCCATAACAGTTGAAGTTTTGTCAAACTGCATTAATTCTACAGTGTAGATGCACCCCTAGGAATACCCAATGGACTTGCTTTTGGAAATGAGAAAGAGAAAGAAATCCTAATCTTGAAGCAAGGAGTGGCAGGATTTTAATTCTTAAATCTATGGCTGTGCAATGAGTGTGCTTTCTGGTGTGGATGGGAACTCTAGCCCATCACACCCAGCAAGTGCTAAGTTTGGAAAAGCTATGCAAGGAACAGGCTGAAAATCATTGGGAAAGGATGTAAATTATGCAGGTTCTACCAGGCCAAATATTCGTTTAGCATTTTCTCTCTCTCTTGTTGCTATTGGCTGTCTGAAGAAAAAGGAGAGAAGTTTGGGAGTTGATCCTTCTCTGCGTGTAAATGGTGAAACAGGATTCCAGAGAAGTTTGAAACTGTCGAGATCATGCGAGGCACATTGGCCTGCGGGGTGAGAGGGATGGAAAATGCCGCCCCTGTTTAGGACAATGGCAATTCAGCTGAAACAGCACAAGTTTTGTGAGACTGTACTGGGAAGGGCAGAGTTCAGATCTGAGTAAAGAATGCTGACCTTTAAGGCTACCTCATTGCAGACCTAAGCAAATTCACTTAGAGGCAAATACCCTTGAAAGCAATGCGGTTTACTTTTGAGTAAACACAACTAGGAACAGGGCAGCTAAGTTATTCATCAGCGAAACAGATCCAAATAATCAAGCGCTTCAGGGAAACAGTGTTTTCAGAGCTGAATTCTGTTTAGCTTTATGACAGAGATGGTTATTGGTGATAAAAATTACCTTCTAAAAATGTGACAGTTTCCCCCCAAATGTGGTTCAAAGGAGACAATCCTGTGTGCTGCCTTTCATTGCAGATGGCTTCTTTTATAATGAAGGTTCTTTTATTACAATACAATTTGGGGGAGAAAATGTACATGAATGGTAATATACACGAGGGGTTGCGGTGGCGCAGTGGGTTAAACTGCTGAGCTGCTGAACTTGCTGATCAGAAGGTTGGAGGTTCTAATCCACAGGATGGGGTGAGCTCCCACTGTTAGTCCCAGCTCCTGCCAACTTAGCAGTTTGAAAACATGCAAGTATGAGTAGATCAATAGCTACTGCATCGTCAGGAAGGTAAAGAACCATTTCAAAGATCTTCCGGGTCTTTCCAGCACTTGAGTTGTTCGCCATTTTCTGTGAACAACTCTGATGGCAATGTATATAATGGCACTTGGATTTTGCTATCCATGCAGAGTCCTGGAACCAAACCTCAGCGGATAACATGGAGCTATTGAATATTGAGGCAGGATAAATGTCTTATGATCACAATTACTGTGTCCAATTCTGGGCACCACAATTGAAGTTGATAAGCTGAAATGTGTCCAGAGGAGGGTGACTAAAATGATCAAGGGTCTGGAGAACAAGTCCTATAAGGAGCGACTTAAAGAGCTGGGCATATTTAACCTGCAGAAGAGAAGGCTGTGAGGGGAAGTCATAGGGAGGAGGGAGCAAGCTTGTTTTCTGCTGCCCTGGAGACTAGGATGCGGATCAATGGCTTCAAACTACAGGAAAAGAGGTTCCACCTGAACATTAGGAAGAATTTCCTGACTGTGAGAGCTGTTCAGCAGTGGAACTCTCTGCCCCAGAGTGTGGTGGAGGGTCCTTCTTTGGAGGCTTTTAAGCAGAGGCTGGATGGCCATCTGTCGGGGGTGTATGTCCAGCACACAATTATCATTCTTGACTGGAGTCTGATCACAACCTGGGATTTGTAATGTCATGTCTGCCGGAGAATACTCAAACTGCAGTCCAGGAAAATACTTTAGAGAAGTCCAAATGCTTACCAAACTACACATTCTGGATTCCTTTGGATGGAGCCAAGGTGGTTAACGAGATTAAACTTCTGTACTTCTTCAGTTCAGATACAGAATAGGACAGGGGTGGAAGTCATACAGCTCTCCAGATAGTTGAACTATAGCATCCAGCATTCCTAATCATTGATTATTTTGGCGTAGACTGCTAATTCCACTTAGAAAAGGGAAATACAACCTTTCCAAAAAAACAAAACAAAGCAAAACAAAACACCCACAGACTTTAAGGACACACAGCAAGAACATTATTGCAACACTATAGCAACAATCGCATTGCATCATCTTATAAATTACGACTTGCCATGCTGGAGCAAATAAATCCAAGAAAATTTGTCTGACTTGGCAATTGACTTGGATGCTTCAAAAACAAATCCTAACCATTAGCATTCATTCTGGGGGCCTATTTATATGTTCAGCAGCACCAGATGTTTCAGAAATGATTGATTTCCAGTAGTCATCTTGAACCAACTTTTTTTGTTTACTCAGGCAGGGGATACTCAAAAGCTGCACATGTGTGTACTTTTGCTCATGAGCTTGGATTGCTTTCAGTGCGCTGTGTAATGGCAGTGAATTCTGAACTCCATCCTCCTCTAAAATAACAACTCCGCTGTGTTTCCAAAATCTCAGATGTGAGAGCCTCACTATATTGGATTTCATTTTGCTGTATTGACCTCTTTTGATTTTTAATTATCTCCTTACTTGCACAAACAAAGACCAGATTGTGGCTGCAATCTGATGTAGGTTTACTTGTTTGAGGAGCAAATTCAACAGAAATATACATAGGTATTACTACATGCACAGCAGAGGCAGAGAGGAAAGCAAATACTGTTATGTGGAGTTAAAGCACTCAAGGATGTATTCCTTGACCCTCCTGGTCAAAAGCCCACTATGCTCTTCTTCTCTTTCATGAGCATGTAATACCCACATGTTTGACTGATCAAAGTAAAGAAACCCTAACATAAGCCTGATCTAGCAAAAGGTATACTTTCGTGTTTATAACCTAAGGGGTTTAAGTGTAAGAGTGTAGTGGGTTGACTGTTCGCCTGTGACTATGGCGACCAGGGTTTAATAATTAATAATAATAATAATAATAATAATAATAATAATAATACTTCGCTTGTATACTATCTCCCTGAGGGGACTCAGCGTGGATTCCATCATACACGAACACAAAGGCCAACATTCAATGCCTAGAAACAACAAAACATAGATAAAAGTAAAGGCTTCCCCTTCTGGCTTGTGGTGCTCATCTCTGGCAGGTGGTGCTCATCTCCATCTCTAAGCCAAGGTGCTGGCATTGTCTATAGATGCCTCCGAGATCATGTGGCCAGCATGACTGCATGGAGCACAATTTACCTTCATGCTGAAGCGGTACCTACTGATCTACTCACATTTGCATGTTTTCAAACTGCTAGATTTGCAGAAGTTGGGGGTA